TGTTCGCCTTCAGGAAAGAGTTACGCTTTGCTCGATACTTCAGATAGCATCTTACCGTATGTATATATAAAAACTAAGCACTGAAAGGAGCAGAGATTTTTCTTTAAATCAGAATGTACTGACTGAAACTATACCTTACGGTTTCACTGGATTCTATGTGTTGTGCTAATGTAACTATTTTTAATGTGTATGGGTGGATTAGAGAGGCCTCTTGATGGACAGGATAGAGGCGGTTTCCAAAGTTCTCCCTAGTTACACGTATGACTACCACTAAATTATTACACAGTTAATCTGGTACCTTGCTAAATTCTGTCCTTTAAGTAATTTAAAGATATTTAGGGGTCTGTTCAGACAACTAAATATCTTTAGCAGAAAAAGAGGGGCTTGAAGTTGTGGGAACTAACCCAAATGTCAAGGTCCAGATTCTTCCACAGGATGAGTAATTGCTTGTGGATAAATAATCTTAGTTGTTCCCAAGAATCTTCCACAAAAACCTTTCTCAGTCCAAACAGCAGCTGCTCTACATTATGTCTGTTTGGTCCTCTGTCCTTTCCATGACCCGGTTCAGGTGAAAAGATGAGTCAATAAGCTTGGCATAAATTGATATTGTTCAGTTGGATTGGCATGATATAAAAGTCAGCATTCTACATGGGAGACTTTAAAAATCTCTTTAAAGGAGTTTTTTTAAATCCAATATATTTGTCTTACACTGGAGACTAAGTTGGTAAATTGTAGATTACCATCATCTTGATAAGCCAGACACAAAAGTCTGCCATAAGAGCAGTCCTTAAGTAGTTTTACTCTTGTTAGAACAAAGAAATGGAGGATTAGTGAAACTGTGAATTAGGTCTAAAATCTTTCTGTACCATCAGCACCTGATGTTAAAGCTTATCTTGGAGCAGAATGTGTAATTTTGAAATATGCCTGTTCTAACAAGCATTTTAAAGAGATGAATGATCACATCAGTGATTTTCTGTAGAAGTAATTTATTTCCTTAGCCTGATTTGATTTGAATTTTGACCTTTTAAGACTTTTGATCTAAATCCATTTAAGATGCATCTGAAGGGCTTAAAAGAATGAGAAGTCAGCAGCTTTCACATTAAAAATATATGAACTGTTCAGAATGAAACATGTAATTCCCACAAAAGCCATATCTTTAGGGCTACACAGTCCTCACTCTACAGCAAAGCAAAAATTAATAGAAATTTGAGGAGAAAATCAGCTGGGTCTCTGTCTTGTGCTGTGCTCACTTGCCTGTGCTGTGTACTGTCTAGCCATTTCCCTATCTCTGGTTTTCAGTGTTGCGCTTGAGAATTATTCTACAGCCAAATTCGCTCAAGTATTAGGAGAATTTAGACTGATTGTCAAGGAAATGGTCTTATCCTGTTTCATCCTCTTCTTATTAGCAATAACATTTTAGACCACCCACACTGGCTCTTCTTCTCTTACCTTCTTTTATGTGCCATAGGAAGGCAATTTAAGGAGGTGGGGAGCAGAGCTTTAGATCTTCTGAACTATAGACCATACCTGATAAAGGATGGATTCTGTGATTAAGAAACGAAGCATATAATGCCCGTAATTTAGAAATCTATGGTTGTTCCTATTTATTTCCAGTCAGTCAAATTGTTCACATCAGTTGTTGGAAGGTCAGGTTTTCACTAATTAGAACAGACATGCGTCTTAAATTATCTGTGGAAAATATGTAATGAAAGAAATCCACGGTAGAGATTTTCAGTGTAGCACTATCATGTTTTCACTTTGGCAATAATTTCAGAGGAAATGCTGTGGTGTGTCTTCACTACTAATACTGATATGACAATTACCCAGCATTTTGCACTGTACCTGACTGCATCATTTCACTTGCAAGCGGTTTACAGGGCATTTCTCTCTGTGCGTTCCAGCTTGGGAAGTGATGGGAAGCTGCTCATTCGCTTTCCATCATAGGTGCTCTCTTCATGCAGGACAGAATTCAGAATTTTATCTGGTAGTACATTATACGGTAATTATTAATGTATTCTTCAGCAAAATAATAGATCTTGTAGAAATAGTAGTATAGCAGTAGAATTAGCACAGTAACAGAGCTTGAACAATTCCCCAGCCTTGAAGGAGTGTTATTTTTGAATGTGCTCAGCACTGCAAGACACCAGCAAATGCAGGTATCTTTGCTTTTACTCTGTGTACCACGCTGGTTTACTACTTGAAGGATAAGCAAAGCACAGTTTATTACTGCAAGGTTTCTGTTACATCTAGTCTCGAGTGCTATTTTTCCTGTTTCAGTGCACTGAATCTGCTTTCTTGCAAGAGAATTTCCTCTTGGTTATGGACAGACAGCGGAGAACAGATGAGTGGCTTCAGCCATAGGGGGCTTTGGAGACATCTGGTTTTCCCTTGTATCATTTGTGTTCCACTCTGTCAAAAGTAGGACACATCTGGGGAAAGACAGTAGGGGAAGGAAACATCCAGACCTCCCAGCGGTTGTGTCTGCATGAATCAGCAGGTTGTTTTGCGCTGATGGAGATGGATGCAAGATAATAAACCAAGTATGTCTTTGTTTACAGTAGCGTTTGCGAGAAAGCCTGAGGCTCCTCTCTGAGGAGCTGCGGATCTGGCTGGGCACAATGGAGAAACCAATCTCAGCATCAAGATGTTTGAAAATGCTAATCAGCTTGTATTCATTGCCAAACACCTGCAAACGAAATTAGACTAACAGCGAAGGAAGCAAAAGTGATGTTGTTAAAACGGTGTGAAACTGAGCAATCCTGGGAGCTGGCAGTGGTGCAGATGCAGAGCGGGCACCTACACGGGGCTGAGCGGGAGATGGCAACGGGATCACCGGGTGTTCAGTCATTAATCTTTCAAACACGATTTCCTTAACGTTTAAGGAACAGCCAGTTTAAACATATGGGTAGTTCTCCAGCACAGTTCAGTCTTGTGACATAGCTCAAACCTGATTTAACCCGCACATGGTGAGGAGTGCGTGGAGTGGTAGGGAAGTGTCAAGGTGGACGCTCACAGGGAATGATCTGTGTGTTGTGCTTGTAACATAAAAAGAAATGCTGAGCTGAGCCGTGAAAGAGCAAAGTGACAGAAGAAGGAACCTGGGGAGATGCTTAGAAGCAAGATGAGGAAGTAGCAAGGATGACAGCAGTACTTTTGGCTGAGAAAAGGTGAAGAATCTCTGTCATGGGAGCTGCTGGTGTCTTAGGCTGATGGGTGCTCCAGTGGCCAGGCAGCGGCTGAGGCCATGAGCCTGTTGTATCCAGGCACGAGGGACGTGTCTTTGAGAGACATGTTCAGCTGGCCTGTCTTCTATGTGTTTTTCACCTCAAGACTGAAAGTGAATCGGTATGCGCTGGACGAGATGGGCTTTCGGGGGGAGCTCAGCAAGGCAGGGCTGCGGCAGGGTGGGAAGGTGCACGCCAGCACTGGCTGCTTTGCTGGCATGTCAAGGGCTTGGCGTTTCTCTGCGGAGCGCCGGCACCGGCTGCTTGGGCACCGCTCAAGTGCAAGGTGGGACTGCAAATCTTGCGGCTCACCACCATTAAGGCAGTGTTAGGGTTTGACTGGGGTTTCAGATGTCTGTTTTTCCAGGATTTGTTGGGTTAACCTCTCTCTTTTAAGTGTATTTGAATTTTGGATTTCCAACTGTCCTGAAATTGGGTTTGGGACTTCACAGTGATATCCAGCCTTAAATGTTGTCCTGTTGGTACATCCATGCCAGCATAAGGAAGATTTCTGCCCCAGGACTGGTTGTGGGCTGGCCACCAGTGCTTAGCACATTCCTGTTCAACCTGGGTCTGCCTGGTCATTTCCCAACAGGAAAGTTAGAGGAGAAATGTTTTGTTGGAAGTTGCTTTTGAAAGTCAGCTGCAGTGGTGGTAGGTCCTCTGAAATGTTTCAGGGCATCTGTTGCTCCGCCATCTCTCCACTCATTGCCCAGCTATGACTTGTCACCCGTCACAGGCTTCTTCATTCTGGTTTTCCCACTGTCAGGAGGGTCATGTCCTTCACATAAGTGCTCAGCTGATCTGGAAATCATAATCCAGACCGATGTTCAGCTCTCTGTGATTTCTTCTCTCCAAGTAAACAACATTGTTTGCGTAAGAAAGTGTGGTGTCTGCCTAAGTCTTCTCTCCCAAAAGTACAGTTTTTCAGCTGTAGCAATTGATGTGGTTGCAGCTGAAAAATTTCTCTAGTTCAGTTACGACTTGTTGTCCCTTTAAACATATACTAATTTTCAAAAATAAGATTTATAACAAAAAATTAAGATGCCAGTTTTCCTTTATATTGTTGACAGTCAGATGAAAATACCTGCCTTTATACCTATTCCTAGAAATATGTGATTTCCACATAGTCTTTGGAATAGAGTCACTTTTTCTTTCAGTAGCGCACGCATGGTTTACCTCTGGTCTGATTCTTATTTTTACTGTCTAATTAGAAATGCTGCCTTCTTCTAAATTATTTCACCACATAGAAAAGAAAGTATACATCCCTTTTCCTTATAACTTCACTTGACCTTAGCACACTCCATAGACATTACTGATTACACCCAAAATGTGCAGCACATAGTTCATCAATGACTTCAGGACTAACTTTGATTTGACCTTAAATCCTTGTGTGCAGCATCTTTAGCTCCAAGTCTGGCTGCTGCAGCTCTTTCAGCACTGTGCGATATTCATGTGAATGGTCTCGTTGGCTTTGGTATGACCACTTGCATACTAAAGACTATTAGTTTGAAGAAGATCTGTAGATACAAGGCAAGTGTTTAAATTCTGGAATGTTCTGCTGGTTACTCTTCCTAAGCCCAGGCTTGGGAAAAAGCACATTTCTGAATGTAGGACTTGGCTCACAGATCTTGATAAATTAACAGGGATGGAGCTTTTTCATCTTAATTTTACATTTGTCAGCTTTTCATAAAACCTTATGTGCGATGTTTACATTGAGATGTCACCCATTTCCCTGAAAATTCTTTAATACTAAGTTTTGTTGTTATTTTTCAGGTGTTCAAATGAAACAGTATTCAAAAAGGAAGATTTGTTCTGGGCATATAATTTCTGCCCCACTCCATACTCTTGGACAGCACTTCTGGGCCTTATTTTATACTTGGTTTTCTTTGCACCTGGTAAGCAAATGTTTGTTTACCCATAAAAGTTAAAAAATTGTAAAGATAAAATGTCAAATAGTGAGGCTACATGTTGTACTTTTGAGTCCAGCCATTAAACTGAGATTGATCTTTTTTCCTAATTCTTAGGGATGGGTCCTATGCCCTGGACCATCAATTCTGAAATTTACCCACTTTGGGCTAGAAGTACAGGAAACGCGTGTTCCTCTGGAGTCAACTGGGTTTTCAATGTGCTCGTGTCGCTGACGTTTCTGCATACGGCCGAATATCTGACATACTATGGTAAGAAACAGTATGCGCCCGTGTGTGCAGTACTACCATTGGCACATAGATTTTCTAGTGATTCTGGGTCGCGCAGTTGGTTTTGCTATGAAACGTCAGCTGTGAATGCGGTGTTCTCAACCCACTGTGGTTTAGTAAGACTAGAGACCTGATACAGTCTGCCTGGATCATAGTGTTTGGTCCAGCTTTCATAAGAAACATTGCTTTCTGTCCTTAACTGAGAACCTAGACAGTTGATTAAAACAGGGAAGCTGGAAAAAATACACTTTTGACTTAGTGAAATATGCTGATTCCCACTTAAGGAGACAGCGTCTGCAATCTTCTAGTTTATGATGGCATCCAAGGCCAATATCAGATGGTCCTTGCAGAAATAGCTGTGTAAGATGCTACTGCCCCGCTCCCAGCTGTTGATTAAGTCCTGTCTGCTGGAGCCCGCAGGGAGTTTGTCAGATTACTGCTCAGCCACTCCAGTACAAGTCATTTAAATTACATTAAGCTGCTAGGGAGCTGTTGTGACCTTCGTATCATTACTGGTACAGAGCCTTTCAGCTCTACTTGTCATTCGAGTCACCAGCCTAGAAACACATGGCACGTAAATGTTTGTTGGTCCTTTGGTACCTTCTCTGACCCCCTAGGTAAGGTGGCGGGCGGTGGGGGGAACGAGCTCTTTCTCACTGCTAGTTGTCTCTGCAGAGGACTTTTAAATAATAATTAGCTGTAAGAGTCACAAGTATTATTTTAATCCTGACTATTTCTTTTTTGCTAAAGTTTCTTATTCTGAGGGGTTGTCTTAGTGTGTCCTTCACTGTTAAGATAAACTAAGAAAATTCTTGCCTTTCATATCTGCTTTTTTTAATTGGATATGCAACCGTTGAATTGCTGTTTATTTTAACAGCAGAATGACTTCTCCAAAAAAGATGTGTATTATCTTCCATGTGAAATGAAATTCCTTTTGTTAATTTACTCCGCTGTGGAGCGATGCAATAAAGCAGCCTTCTCCTACACCCGCAGCCCCGCAGCTCGTATTTTAACAATGCCGCTCCAGCCATTGCTTTCACACACTCCTTTGATATCTGCAGCCTGCTGCTTCTGCTGCTCCCTCTGCTCTGGAGCCGAGAAGGGATGGGAACTTCTGTAACTGACTCTGCCTGTTGTTTTACGTTGCAGGAGCCTTCTTCCTCTATGCGGGGTTTGCCGGCTTGGGACTGCTTTTCATCTACGGCTGCCTTCCTGAGACTAAAGGGAAAAAACTAGAGGAAGTTGAATCTTTGTTTGAAAACAGGCTATGTACATGTGGTACGTCAGATTCTGATGAAGGGAGGTATATCGAGTATATTCGGGTGAAGGGAAGTAATTACCATCTTTCTGACAATGATGCTTCTGATGTGGAATAATTTTCAGCTGCTGATGTATTTAATCACTTAAAAGCCTTCTGGGGGAAAAGCAGCTCTCTGATGACCTCACTGCCCTGCTTCTGGTCTGGTTCTCGTTAAAAATGCCTTCACGTTCAAAAATGCTCCACTGGGGAAGAAATTCAATATGCTAGAGTTTTCTTGATAACTAAAAGCAATGGCTTCCAAAAGAGATTGAATTCCACGATTATGTGTATTCACCAAGTGTGCGCTAAACCGCACCATCCCAAGGTATATAGTAGGGTGCACTGTACCAGATGAATACAGAAGGCTATCCTAGATGGTTAGTGGTTGTCCTTATCTTCAATACTGGTAAAAGATAAAATAATAGAGTAGTTTATCAGAAAGCAGCCGACATCTGTCAGATCCCCATCCCGTAGCAGCCCAGCAAATAGCTCTGCTGTGCAGTACAACAAATGATGAATGCATAAGCTGCTGTAACGGTAGCCATTTAAAAGGTTTAACTGATTAGGAAAATACAAATATCTGCTATATCTGTCGGAGGGAACAATTCCCAAATTTGCCCTAAGAGAATTTCCGTTTTTGTTTGCTTGAGATAACAAGTAGAGAGCCATACTCACCTGGGTGGCGGTTCACTAGGGTGGCGTACATCTGTGTTACACCGGGTTATCTAGCCACTGCTGCTCTTGAGTACACACTACGGTCGGGAGTTGGCGTTGTGAGAGAAACTGCCAAAATTAACTACCTGACAGCAGGAAGGCAGAACTAAGTATGTGGCCACACATACAAATGAACTGGTATATATTGCTAGGTATAATGTAGAGGCTTCAGTTAGTTGGGAAAAAATGATTTTTGTTTTTTTCCTTTTTTGCATTTGAACATTTGGGTTCGTGCCTACTTTTGAACACAAAATACCATTAGCTAAAAGAAAGAAAAGGAGGGGAGTGGTTTTGTGCTGCTAAATGCACAGTGGTCATCTCTCCTGCACATTTGCTTGTGAATAATCATATTGCCTTCAGTTTATCTTCGTATGTGCAGAGTAATTTAATCCCAGCACATTTTTCCTTCAAATGCCCTTAGTCAACCAGTGTCTTGCTGGATGTGAAGCGAAATATTAGCAATAGGCAGAAGCCTACATGTCATATTAATTGCCTTACCGAAGCATTGCAAAATTGTCAAGAAAATGTCAGGCACAAAAATCAACTTGGCTGCCTTTAGCCTGGTAATGAAAATATGAATGGTATTTTATTCACCTGCCATGATTGCTTGCCTTGGCAAATTGAATTTTATGCAGCTACATAAAAATACTATGTTATTTTTTTCCTTGCCCTGTCCTCACTGCTTAAATCTTCAGAGATACGAGTCTGAAAGCATCAACAATTCAAATTCTTATCTTTGAAGCATTTGCTTCATGAAAGAATATGGAAAACTTCCTCTGCCTGTGGGTTGCCCCCCATTTCTGTGGTAAAAATACATTTTTTTAAATTGTATAAAGATTAAAGAAGTTGTTGGGTTCATTAGCTTTTATAGAATTGCTTTGTGGGCTTTTCTTGGGTTGAAAAGTATTTTGAATGTAGGATTACTATCAAAACTGAGACTGGACATTTGTTACTAAATTATTTTAATTGGATAACATTGGGTTTTGTTGTAAAGAAGTCTGCCATTATGTTATCTGATCTTCTATGGGGGAAGTTCTTACTCTCCAATTATTGACCTTCAGCGATTGGCTGTATTTTGCATTATTTTCTTTTTTACTTCATTAAGCAAAGAAGTATTTTTGGAAAGAAAACATTTTAAAGCATCCTTCTGTGACTTGGCTGGGACTAAAAGGGGAAAGCATAGCAGACAGAGGGAATTTCAAACGGATCATTGTGAAGAGTGGCCCGACCTTGGATATCTCCTTGTGTGGTGAGAGGGCTGGATTGTCACGCCTTCCATCTTGCATCTCCTCTGAGCGCACAGTACTTTTATGCTTGAAAGTACCAGCTGTTGAAAATGCTCATGTCTCCAGACTTATCTACAAAGGCACCCGCCACGGGATGTCTCCGTTTGGCTAACACCTCTTTGAAACCTTCACCAAAGGTGCAGTACCTGAAATGAGAAAAAGGGATACTTGGCACAGACAAGAACAAAATAGTTTTAAGGGCAAATTGGTTTCTTCCTGAAACCGAAAATTATCTGTTTGAAGACCCTTATTTGGAACAGTTTCGTTACCCAGAACAGTGCGTGAATAGGCTTATTCCCAACCTTGTTCTCAATAGGCTTATCCCAACCAGTGCTTATGTGATGAGTAAGTTTAAGTGGGTATTTACTGGCTTTTGAGAATAGGGACTTAAAGTTCTGATCGCCCCAAAAGCATGAGCCCACGCTCACCATTAGAACGTCCCCTTGCTTGATGTGTTTTGCTGGAGCAGGGTGTGAGCAAGGAGGGTGTCCCTGCGCCAGCACGGTGTCCATGCTGGCCTCGTGCTCCGTTACGCTTGTGTCCACAGGTGGAGGAAACCACTGCATTTATTGGGCATAACCAAAGCAAAGTCACTGGAAAGATCGCTGTCACAAGATCAGCTTCTTTTGTTTTGCAGGCAGTGCTGGGGCTTTTTAGCAGAAGACCATCTCTCTCTGCCAGCCTTGTTTCACGGGCGTTCTCAGAAGTGGTGCTCAGCTGCGTACTGCACTGGGCTTGTTTTCTCACACAACAAGTTCAATCTTACTGAAAGCAGTTTTCTGAAGGTTTGCATCCCGTGCGCTTTTTCTCGAGGCAAAACGATCGAAACATGCATTTTATTAATCATTGCTGCTGGCTATGAGGGTGCAAAATATATCAGCTTCTTTATTGTCACTCCCCCTTTCCTGCCTGCAGAATTGGGTTTACGTCTTCCTTCTAGGGACTTTACACCATAAAGTGTTTTTCCATACCTTAGAAACACTGAACCTAGTACCAAGCATCATGTGTAATAAAAATGAGATCAAATACTTGAAATTAATCTTACACAATTAGGGTTTTATTTTTAGAATCTGTGAACATTTATAATGTATGAAGAAAATTAAATAAAATGTTTCTATTTTGCAAAGATTTTTTTATATTTGTGCATATTTTAAGTTTTATGAGATTTTTGCTAAAGGTAGGCTTAGTAACATTCTAGATAAAAGAGTAAAAATACAGTGTAGCTGAATAATTTCTTATGACAGGATTTTAATTTATGAAGTAGCATAAATAGTATGTCTAAGCACAATATGGTTTTATTGAAAGCTTTCTGCAGAAGATGTGAAATCGTTTCTTCACAAGGACTGCACGCTTAATTCAGGTATTTTGTGCATCAGGAATGCTAGAGTAAATCTGCTAGTGGAGTTGGGCATGAATTGCATATTGATTATACACAACAATTTGAGATATTTTAATTCTGATTAATCTACTGACTCTCCATGTTTTGGTCTAAGAGCAAGTATAAAATAAACAAGTCCTGATGCATTTTTAATATTTTAAAATTTAATTCACATGTAGTAGTTTGTTCGCCACGTTGCAAATCTAAAGTGTTTGGGGGGGTGAGATAATTTGCCACTTGTTTCTTCCCCTTGTCACTTAGCTGATCAAAATCAGTTTTTAATGAGAGAAGCAAACCTGTTTTGAAAATAGACATAGAAATGAAGCAAGGCCCCAGGATGCATTTGAGGGCTGAACTTGTGTTGCTATGATAGATCGCTCTCATAGATGTTGCTACCTTGTGAGATGCAGTGACAGCCCTGTCAGAAGTTTTGGGACAAGAGAGGATACACCCTAAGGATCACTGTTCCAACGCTGACTTATTTTTGCATGAGCTGGTAAATGCAGCATTTCCCTGGTGTAGGAATTAGGGTTGGGAGGGGAGAAGAAAGAACTGATACATCAAAAGCCCCGCGAAGTCATGTTTCAGTAGAGACAGGTGTCATAGCCAAAAGGAGCGGTCTCTGACTTCCCTCCCATGTGGGAGAAGGATGGTGGGACCAAGGGACTGTGCTTGGTCCCGTGGATGGGAACAGGGGGCTGGCAGGCTAAGGGGGAAGAAGCACACAAGTGCTCCTCTCCTGTGTCCATGCGGAGGTGAGAACGCGGCAACGGAGTTTGCAAAGTTAGTATTTTTCTCCTCGGTCAAATCTCTTTTGCCCTTCTTAGTCACTCAGGTTGAGCACTGGGGAGAAGTTTTGGCTTTCAGGGACTGCTGCAGGCCCCGAGCAAGGGTCTTTCCTTCGGCCACGAGGGTGTTGGGTGCGGTCTCCCAAGTGCGCAGTGGGCTAATAAAAGATAGACCCTGTACTTCTCAGCTTTATACCCAACTTCTCAACATCAACGCTCTTCTAACATGGCCTTGAAATTTCACTGGTACTTGCACAGGAGGCTTTGTCAGCTGAACCTCACTACGCCAGACAGAGGCAGAGTCTTCACGGCATAGAGAGCTCTCGGGGTAGAAATCAAGGCAGAAGAGACAGTTCTGCGAAGCACTTTAAAGAGTAAGATATTTGTGCACTTTTTTCTGAGAGAGCCAAGCTAACCAAACCCCATTCCTCTGCATTGGGAAGAAAATCGAGCTTTGCGTACCAGGCCAGAAGCAGATAATGCCACAATATGTGCTTTATGGCAAAATGTGTTTTTATTGCGGGTAACATTTACAGCTTACATGTAGCTGCTGCCTATAAGTGACTCAGTCGTTCTCTGGATTTTAACAAGTCACATTTTTGTGCAAAAATCTTAGTGGTTTTCTCTCGATCTTCATCGCCTTGTGTACAGTACAGTTAAGCATAATCCACAAAGTGGTCTAGGTTGTGGCAGTGTTACAAATGTCAGCACAGTAAAATCTAGGTGAACATTGTTAAAGAAATATTGTTGTTTGTGATACTGGGGGTTAAAACTCCTTAAAGGCAACTATATATAGATTTTAAAAGTCTGAAAAAAATGGCAGTTCTTATCTATTTTGTGTATGTTTTCATATAGAGAAGGAGTTTTTTATGTGCCAATAACCATCACTGTAGTGTTTTGTAAATGGGTG